GAAGGCGTCCGCCCAGACCCCGAAAAGACTCGCGCCGTCGCGGCATTTCCAGTGCCGACAGATAAGAAGGCCGTGCGAAGATTCCTTGGACTTTGTGCCTATTATCGACGCTTCGTTCGGGATTTCGCAAGGATTTCCGCACCACTTACGAATCTCACGAAAGACGCCGAGAAGTTCGAATGGGCCGAGGAGCAACAGCAGGCATTCGACGAACTGAAACGACGACTCCAGACTCCTCCTGTACTTGGACATTTCGACCAGGATGCGGAAACAGAAATTCACACGGACGCAAGTAACGTGGGACTGGGCGCAGTACTAGTCCAAGTGCAAGAAGGCATCAAGCGAGTCATCGCCTACGCAAGTCGGACATTGTCCAAGGCGGAGAAAAATTACTCCACGACTGAGAAAGAATGCCTTGCGGTCGTCTGGGCAATAACGAAGTTTCGTCCGTACTTGTACGGGAGCCCGTTCCGTGTAGTCACGGACCACCACTCGCTCTGCTGGCTTGCGAACCTGAAGGACCCGTCAGGACGCCTCGCTCGATGGAGTCTTCGACTACAGGAGTTCAACATGACAGTGGTCTATAAGTCAGGCCGCAAGCACAGCGACGCCGACTGCCTGTCCAGAGCCCCCGTCGAAACACCTTCCGGCTCCAGCGACGACAATGACGACGAGTGCTTCCTAGGAGCAGTGAACACCGACGATATGGCACGACGTCAACGGGACGATCCTGAGCTGCGCGCATTAATCGAGCACCTGGAAGGGGGCAGGAGTACCGTGCCACGTGTCTTCTCACGAGTACTGCCGACCTTCGTCATCCGACAAGGTGTACTCTACAAAGAGAACTTCGGCGACAACAACACACCGTGGTTGCTGGTAATCCCGAATGACCTTCGAGAGGAGATCTTCCAAGCCTGCCACGACGACCCGACATCCGGACACCTTGGTTACAGCCGGACACTGGCCCGTATTCGTGAAAAGTATTACTGGCCGAAGCTCCCCAAGACCGTCCACCTATACACACGATCATGCCACGAGTGCCAGCGACGCAAGAAACCGCCGACGAGGCCGGCCGGACTCCTGCAGCCTATTTCTCCTCCAACTGCACCCTTCCAGCAGATCGGAATGGATCTACTTGGTCCTTTTCCGCCTTCGACGTCGGGGAACCGCTGGATCATCGTCGCCACAGATTATCTCACACGGTACGCCGAAACGAAAGCTCTTCCTTCGGGGACTGCTGTGGAAGTTGCCAAGTTTTTCATTGAGTCCATCGTCCTCCGGCACGGCGCTCCAGAAGTTGTGATTACAGATCGCGGATCATCGTTCATGGCACAACTGACCCAAGAAATCCTCCGACTCAGTCATACCAGCCATCGTCGTACAACTGCGTACCACCCGCAGACCAACGGGCTGACGGAGCGACTCAACAAGACAATCGCCGATATGATCTCTATGTACGTCGACGTAGAGCACAAGACGTGGGACGAGGTGCTGCCCTACGTCACGTTCGCCTACAATACGGCGGTTCAAGAGACCACTGGATTCACCCCTTTCCAGCTGGTACATGGTCGGAAGGTAACGACCATGCTGGACGCCATGCTGCCCCATGAGCCATCTGACAACGAGAGCGACGACGCCCAGGCGGTTGCTCAACGCGCCGAAGAAGTTCGCCAGCTCGCCCGACTCCTGATTCAAGACCAGCAACGCGTCGACGCCGGCCGCTACAACCTTCGTCGCAGGGACGTCCACTTCCAGCCCGGAGATAGGGTGTGGGTATGGACGCCCATCCGTCGCCGCGGCCTCAGTGAGAAATTGCTGAAGCGCTACTTTGGGCCCTACAAGATCATCCGACGCCTCGGCGATCTGAACTACGAAGTTCTACCCGACGGAACGCGCCCATCTGCAAGACGTCAGCCGCGACCCGAGGTGGTGCATGTCGTCCGGCTGAAGCCGTATTACGAACAATAGGACTCTCCACTCTCGTCGACGAGTGAACTGTGGACTGTGAACTCCGGCTAGCAATTCTGCTGTCCTTTTGTTTTTTTTGTTTTTTTGTTTTCCGTTTTTGTGCTGCATCGGGACGATGCACTTTTAAAGGGGGGGGATAATGCCGCGCGCAGGGCTGAGAAAGCAACGCTCGGTCACGGACCCCCAGAAAGTTCTCGTCTATTCATGTACCGCACGTAACTTCTATCATTTATTCCTGCTTTTGTTTTCTAGAAAGTGCGTGTTCATTCTCGCCCGATCACGCGACGCTCGAGCCGCTTTCGCCGAATCTTCGAGATAGTGACACACTCTAGATAAGAGGCCGCCCGCTACCTTGTCGAGTCAGTTTCGCCTCAGCGTTCGACTCTGCTGCTACGCCGACTTCGACGCCCGCGACGCTCTGTTATTATCTTTTATACCCTTTTATTTTTGGCACAAGTTCGCCACATTAAACGTTTATTTATCCCTGTTTATTTCTTGTTTATTGGTCACCACTCGTGACAATATGACGCAAGACGTAGCCCTATTTGCGATGTTGAAGGCTTGGAAGGTTGCCCTCTAGGGTACCTGACATGGTTAACTTGTGCTTTTGTTTTCTCTGTTCATCAGACGTTAGCTTCCTTTGAGAGACCCACAGCTGAAGTTTGGTTATTCAAAGAAATAATTATAATTGATTCTTGAACCTTTGAACCCGGTGCCGACAAAACTCTCAATGCTTGCGAACGTCGTTCGTTTTTAGGATGTGGTTTTCGACTGACAACGACAAAATCGCGACCATTCGCGCTGGGTCACTGTGGCGTGTTTGCAAACAACGTGGTGTTGGGTGCAAAAATAGTGGGGGGGGGGGGGGGAGGAGGGGGGGGGGAGCGCCACGGCTGCAGTTTGCCCAGGGCGCTTGCTGCTTTAAGGCCGGCCCTGCCTACTGACTTGTAACACTTCAATAGAGCGAGGGAATCAGCCTTTGTTGCCTAGAAGAAACAGTTTAACTGCCGATAATAAATGTAACTTTACATTGGCACCCCTTGGATGTAAGTTAAGCTAGTGCTGGTTAAATCCGGAAGCGTTTAAAGCCGCCCAGAATTTCAATGTTTTTTTATGTGTCCGTGATCTGCGATATTTAGTGAGGGCTGCTCCGCTCGTATTTCGCTGCTTAAAATTAGCGTTAAAACATGTCCATTCACAATAACCGACGTCGATTAGTTTCGCCTACTACGTCTGATTCAATTTTTAATGGCAGGGTGTTTTAACTCCAGTTGCACAGCACGTAGAGCCAGAATCTCAAGTTCAGGGGTTTGGCTGTCGCTGCTGCTGGACTGCGAAGGGTCGCCAGCTCTGCGGCACGCAAAGACAAAGCTCTGACACCACGGGCAAAGGCAAATCAGAGTAAAGGCATATCAGAGTTGGACATGACACCTTGTACCCCTGGTCTTACTCCGTATGCGAAACCTCTGCTGGCCCATCGCCAGGCTGCGCAGCATGAACCGAAAACCACGCGGTTCGGTTGACTGTATTCCAACCTATCCTGATAGTGAATGTAAATGTTCACTGCTTGAGCAATTTTGAATCATTTTGGTAAATGAGAGTGCGAGGACGCTGAACATGCTAGGCATTGGACCAATTGCTCACATCCCTTTGAAAGCACCTGGGTTACACTAAATTATTCTCTCACTTGGCATTCGGGTTCAGCTTCACTTCAATTAAGAGTAAAATAAGATTTCTTTTTCATATTTCGAAATTAATGGAAGTGAAGTTACCGATTGTTTTTCCAAACTAAAAGGTGGTGGTTTTCTGAACCAAACTAACATAGGAAGCTCCGTACTTATATGTTGCGAGATTTGACTGAGGATACATTAGTAATGTTGTAAGTAAATCCGTCAAATTATGCTTCAATGTGACCTCCAAGCAGATGGAAATATTTTTTAAAAGTCACGCGTTACGGTTAGAGAAGTAAACAGTCGAAGTAATCAAGAATCTACTAAAGGGTCAGTAGTACGTTTTTTCTAAATATGTGAGCTGCAGGAATTTGCTCCTTTTGTGTCTATTTAATTGAGTTTATTTGCGTAAATTAGAGTATGCTTGTTAGTTAGTTCTATAAAAATACACTTCCCAAATTTGTTCGTCGCTTGAAAACCTGTGAAAGAGCCTTTACTTTTCTGCTTACGGTGCTGAGCGCTCTAAGCAGTAACATATTACGAATACGTTTAGTTTTAGATGAATGTCTGTTCAGGGACACGGAACATAACAGTTTCAAGCTCTAAGTTTATTATAAAACCATAGTCTTTTCTTAAGAAGGGTTCATGCAAAACTTTTAAATACTCGAAACGTAGAAGCGCTCGAAACGAGGACAAAAGAGGCGGACAACACAGAGCGCTGCGTTTTCCTGTCTCCTCCTTTTTCTTCTTCTCAAGCGCTACCATGTTTTTGAATACCTAGTACCAACTCGCCCAATGATTTGTACTGATCAGTTTTATTTTAAAAAAAGTGCGTTATACAGATGCACAAAAAAATTCATACTTAAGAAATGCTGACGAGAGATATAAATACAGGCATGCCTCATAATTAAGAACATATCCATCTCTCCCCCCCCCCCCCCCCCAAAGGCGCCCATATTGTAAGTCGTCCATTATAATAAGAAAACATCTGTATAACTGCTCAGTCTGTTTTCAAAAAAAAAAGTGTCTATATATAGCAACGTATATCTATTAACCAGGCCCAAATACCAACAAGACGACTGCGAAATTGCGGGGTTGTTGCCATGGAGGCATATAAATATCTCGTATTTGAGAATACCGCTACGATAAAGTTGAGACCCATTCCTCAAGTAATATTTCTATGGAATGCTTTCCAACAAGGAATAATTTAACTGGAATATAACGTTTGTATTCCTGTGACGATAATAAACCCTGGAGAGGGGGAACAAAGGGGACAAAGGACAAACACAAATCTCGAAACGCAGCTGTACCTATAGTAAAAATACACGACATGATAATTTTTCACTTTCAGGTTCACTGAGGATGGCGCATCGAAGATATCGGATATATCGGGGCCTATTGTGGATTCTCATTGCTATAATAGCAACGATGACATATATATACACACTACGACGGCACAAAAACTGTGCACCACCATTCAGCTACGCTGTCCAGCTTCGGAACTTCGCAAACTCCAGCAGTGGAAAGTTCTGGAACCCTGGGGAAGTGTTGCGCTTGGGACACGAGGGGCTGCCTTTCCCAGTGGAAGACACGGGTGATCTTCCCACGGCCCACAACACCGCTTCCACGTGCAAGAAGCGGTCCAAATACATATTTTTCGTTAATTCGACGCCTGGTAACTTTTATCGCCGAGCTATCATGCGAAGCTGCTTGAGCAATCCCATTTTCTCTACGTACTACCGATGGACCACCGTCTTCTTCGTTGGACTGTCCGCAGACAGCGCCACAGCAAAGCAGGTGGAAGAAGAGGCGGCCCAACATGGCGACGTCGTGGTGTTACCGTTCCAGGACTCCTTCACAAACCGGACCTTCAAGTTTGTCTACGGCATGAAATGGACCATCGAGAACTGTCCGTCCACGGAGTACGTGGTGAAACTTGATGACGACATGGTGGTCAACGTGTCCATGGTGATGAACTATCTGAGGGCGCATTCCACAAGTGAAAAGTTAGAGTGTCACTGCAACGTGTACAAGAACGCGCTCGTCGTACGAGATGTAAAATCCAAGTGGTATTTATCCGAAAAGACGTATCCCAAGAAGATGTTCCCACCGTACTGTGCCGGTGGTGTCGGCTTGTTTAAGTCCAGTGCGCTCCGAGGTCTTTACAATGCCTCATTTTACCTTCCTTTCCACCCAATCGACGATGTGTACGTTACCGGTGACTCGTCCTTGATCGCTGGCGTGAAACTAATTGAAATTAACAAGTTAGTTTCCTTCTCCGGATACGATTGGTCGGGTGTCACGTCGGGAAAAAGTATGCTTAGTCAGCTATATTACCCCGAGCTTAGCGAACTGGCGTGGAGAATTATTTCTGAAAGTCTGACACGGAAAAAACGGCAGAAAAGAAAACAAAGACGATTAATCTTTAGACTTCCAGGAACAAAAATGACAAATAAATGATTGAAGCAAGAGTAAGTAAACAGTCGAGTTTGTTGATGCCTAGTGTCCAATGTCACGGCTTCGTCCGTCAACAAGAAAAAAATCTCATCGACAAAAACCTACGCTGTGAAGGATGCCTTCATGGTCCATACATTTTTACATTTATGGCGAACTCCAAGTAATATTATCGCGGTTTGACTAACTTTTGTGCCGTATTCGGCAAAAAGAAATTTAGAATGAGATGATTGATAATATTGCCAGAAGGACTTGCGCACGAAAAAGGTATCGGATAATTTTCATTTTTGTGGGTAAATTAACCGATTTCCTAGAACTTTATGAACAGATATATAAAGCAATTTTTAGTAGCTCGTAGAACCGCTTACTTATTTTTGCTATTACCTCGCGTGGCTGGCACGTCTTTTTATCAAAATTAACAGCACGGAGGCTATCCCGTCCTTTCATTTCCCTAATGTATACGAGCGTAGTTTGAACCTTAGCTCAACGTAAGTACATTCGTGTTAGCTGAAGCGCAAATCTCTCGGAATAATCAGGAATTCTTAGGGATTTAACTTGGTTGCGCTCCACTGTTAAGGCCGGTTGATCCACACAGCGCAGCACTAAGGCAATACTAATGGCGAGTACGCGTGGTTCTTTCTGCGCGCTCTCGAGCGCTCTTTCCAGAGCACGCGAGATCGGGTGGTGGAAAGGGAGTGCGGTGACCTGATCGGCTGATTCTTTCCGAGTGCGCCCCTCCCTTTTAGAGCGCTCTGCAGCACTCCGTCTTAAGCCGCCGGAGTGGGGAGCGGCGCAGGCGTCACGTGGTGCTTGGACGGGGGTCGCGTGGTTTTGTTGACGATAACCGGCAGTGGTCTGCGGTGGTGTGCGGAGTCAGGCATGACGGCGATGGATATCTGGTTCTACAAAGTGCTTGTGCGTTCAACGATGCGAGAATTACAACGGACGGGACGACATGCCCTTGTGCCCGTGACAGGAAAACTTGACGTGGGAACTATTCCCCGTGCTTTTGCGAGATCGTCCGTCTCACGGCGGTGAACCCGCTAGGCCTAACCGATCAAGAAACAGTTCGCAGAGCTCGCCGCCGTTTTACTGGATTTTGTGTACGCTTCAATGGATTTTTAGGTTTGGTAAGAGTGCGTTGAAAGGTCTGTGTCGTAAAATAAAGGGAGAGCCGTCTGTAATGGAATGTGATTTGTGTCACGTGGCGATACATGCCATGTTCTGTGGGCGATGCTTGCACGACATTTTGCAGTGAGGAAAACGCGGTTTATTAATCTTTTGATATTGGCCTGTTCTGCCGTGCGCATGACCGATATCGCAGCGCGTTCACTGTTGAAAACCCGATGAGTTGACAACGTTTTCCAAAATTTGGTGTTCGATGCGTTTCGATGAGCAGGTTTCTAATTGTTTCTATTTTTTACATACTGATGTGTAGATCAGTCTATAGTGCATCACATATGTTATTTCCAACACGTTGCAAGCGCAAAGTTTGCTCAATCATCCATCGCACGCTGTAATTTTTTGTAAATCAAATTTCAATGTTAAGAAGTTTTACTTTCGTGACTGGTCCGAGAATGTGAAAGCGCTCTAAGCCCAGCAGTTGTTATCGGCTGCAAAGGATCGAGAGTAGCTCTGGCGGCGAAGAGGGGGCGCTCTGTTGAACCAAGGTGAAAGGAAAGAGGCGACCACCCGAATTCACCATAAGAAGAGCGCTGATGCTGCGCTGATTTGAACCAGCACTGTATCTGCACTTTATCACGAGCATAGTCCAAAGTCAGCACCACATAAGCAAGGTCAGCGCTATTTCCAGCGCTGACTAAAGGCCTGTTCACACATGCAGCGGTGCGCTACAAGCAAAGCGCTGACCTCGCGCTAAGCGCGTGCCGAAGGGAGCGTTCCCCAGCTTTGTATCGCACCGTCAAAACTGTTGCTCATGGCGGACAATAAATAGCTGACGACACGTGACCAACGCTACATCAGCGCTTTGCTGCATGCCAGAACCGGCCTTAATAGTGCGGAGGTAGCGCTGTACCGTATGTATGAACCACTTTATTTTCCCTAAGGTGAATGCTTAGCCCATTCAAGGAGTCGATGGGGTCAAACAGGCAGCTCCAAAAGAGGCATGTCACTACGGTCCCCATTTCTGGTGGGTTAGCTACTATTGGCTCAGTTAATCAAGCGCAGTGGGTACCCGTGACATTGCACTTTTGGGACGCCTGATCTTGTATTCTTGCCTTTCCTTAGTGAAAAAAACTATTTGTATAGGAAATTTTCTGTGCACAATGAACACGCAAGAATAAATCAAGATATATAAAAACATATAAGAACCACATGGGAACTATATGGGAAACGTCTCACAAGTTTCTTATATGGTTTTTATATTTTCCTATATATCTTACATAGTTCTTACGGGGTTCTTATTTGTTCTTATATATCTTGTATGATTCATATGTGTTTATAAAACACAGATATTTCCCACAGAAATGAGATGTTTCCATACGATTACAGCCCTTTGACTCACACTGAAAGAATATATAGCATTATTGTCCTGTATTATATCGTAACATGAGAGGACTAAGCGTCCGCTTTTGCGACATTCCGGCGGTTTCAGATCCAGAACCTGAAGTACTTTAGAGAACTTCTTCATTAAACTATAAGCTCTCATTACATGGATTCGATTGTGAAAAGCGTTATAAGTCAGAGTAGGAAAGGCCGACGCCCTATCTTTTACTACCGCCAGAGCAGCCGACATGCAGAGCGACCATCTTGCGAGTATGTCTTGCGCGGAGCGTCTAATTTGAGTACTATAAAAAAAAAAAAAACAGCAAAATGCAACACCATGCGAGATCAGCATTTATATTCCTCCAATGACCTATTAAATGCAACATCTATCCAGTGTGCGTGGTTTCGCATTCAAGCGGTTGCAACGTTCAGGTCATTGAAAAGGGGGGAAGGGCACGCGGGATACCGCTTCAGGTGCCGCTGACCCTAGTCTCGCTAGTGCGCCAGGTCATTCCACCGCGCCGTGGTGCAACACCTCCTAGATAAGAAAGCAGTACTTAGAGTTGAATGAGATGACTTCATCAGAGAAGGCCAACGCTGGGCCCAGATTGGACACGCCGATTACGCCAACGTTTGGCTCAAAGTTCAAACTCGACTCGAAGCCAAGCGGTGACACGGCACTCATTTCCAATCTGTGTCCTGGGTTGGCCTTCTCTGATGACGCCACCTCATTCGCCACTAAGCCTTTGATATCTAGGGGGTGTTGCGCGGCGCCTGTTCTTCCTTGGCTCCGCGCCTGCTGTGAGCGTGACTTTGACGAAATCCAAAGGGGTTGTTTTTACGAAAACCCGGCGGTGTGTTTCAGTTTGTCAGGTACGGGGAGAGAGGCAAAAGGAGGGAGAGAGGTTGATGGGTGCTGACGTCAGCGCTTCGGGCCAACGGGAGCTTAGTACGCGTCCCCCTCTCCCTCTCCTTTTTTCTCTCTCCCTGTGGCTGACAAATGAAAGACACCGTTGAGTTTTCGTCAAAATGAGCGTTCTAAATGTAACGCATTAAAACAATTGCCTGAGTTTAGTAAGGTAGATAAACGTACAACTCAGAGTCCAAGACATTTTTTTTAATTTCGCATAAAATTATGCCGCAGCGTAAATCAGTCTTATAGGAAATGAGTGAAACCACCCGAAACTTGTGCTGTTAAATGACCATGATGCCTGAGAAGAGCCTTTCTAGTATTGTATTCCTAAAAAGATATTCCTATACTTTCATAAGATATTTGCCGTCTGCACTCGAAATGCGGATGTGTTTTCATTGTTCGATATGCTCGTCTGCTTTAAGTCGGTGTACTGCCAGCCATCGATGTTGAAATTAACGTTTCCTCTCTGGATCACATCTGCCGTGTGTGGTGGGCGAGGCCCTTAACTACGACCACAGTCGACTTCCATGTGTCTGGAAGATGTGCAGTAGTTTCAAGCGCCGAAATGATTGAGCAAATAACCAGACGGAAAGAAAAGTTTCCACAAAATGTAGTCGCTGGTTGCGCTGTAGTTTGTTGTCCGTTACAGGTACAAAAAAAGCAGTACAAGATCCCCTCCCCCCTTTGCGAAACCCTCCGCTCTTTTCACTTTAGCAAAGCGAAAGCTGCAGAGGATACGAGTGCCCTTCAACAGAATGCATCTGGTTTACTGGTGAACTACTCAAGGCTTCGTCATCCCCAAGGTAAACTTCTATCCTTCTTATAATCATAGGATAAGATTTGCTAAAATCTGTCATTAGTAGAGGAGCAAGACAGCCACCTGAGAATCAATTCGTAATTAAACCAAAACTCAGCGTTATAACTGAGCATGTATCATGCGCCGGAAGAGAAGCTATTCATATAGATGATAAGTCAGACAGCCTTCGATATTTGCTGTTATCTTATTACGAGGGGACATTGAAACAACCATACCATAATATGAGATGCGAACTTTTTTTATAATATTTTCTTACATTTATATATAAAGTATGTCGCCTTGCGCAGAAAGAACGTCTTAATATGATACTGAATGTGTCCATGCAAACAGCCTATGCAGATTGTTACTCGTAAGTTCTTAACATTTGACAAATGCTGCAAAAATTGTAGCTTTGATGCAAATATCGAGCATAAAAAAACATGGAGATCTCTTTTTTTACGTATATAGCACAGACGGGGCTATGACCAGAAAGCAACTCATACCTTACTACAGTCTGCTGTGTAATATCTACATAGAAGACGTTGAATCTGTCGGGAGCGTGATGTTTGCAATCTTGGGCTTTGAAGGAAAAAAAAAAAAAGTTGGAATTTCTCACTTTCAGGTACATAGTCGATGGCCCCGGGGAGATTTCAAAAACCGATCTTTGTATTGATGGAAGCATTAGGAGCACTAGTCGTTGTCCACTCTCCACAGCTGCACACATCTCTAACCCCACCTAGAAACGGCTCGTTTTTGCTCATGCGAAATTTAAAGAACTCCTAAAATAATAAG